CTTGAAAATTATAAGAGAATCACAGTTGCAGTGTCATTTTAGACTGTTTTGGATTGTATAAAAACCAGACTCCCCCTGAATAATCACATGGAACAATCTGGTCTATCCAGAATGCTCAATGAGAAGATTGATCATGCATAGATTATAAGAGGAACCACCTGGGGTGCCATTAGTTTTATCTGATCAGTGTGTTATATTCTGTGTGTGAAAACTTAGTGGATGCAGTATTTATTTATCTTAATTATAAGAAAGTATCAAGCATACATATTTTACACATTAATTGTACATAATTATATATTAAAAGGACAATTAATAACTATTTATGTTTATTGTACACATAATTAATGGCAGAGTAAATTGTAATCTGAATGTATGTCACAGACTTGCTTAGTAGAATATACTATTTTATATGGCATAAAAACATATATTAAAGATTTATTTAATAGCATTCTTATTTCAGTGTTGCTTACATGCTGTCAAGAAACCCTAAGTTAAGTCTATATATAGAAAGAAACTGCAGGAAAAATACTGATGCATTTAGAAACTAATAGACATAAACACTGATTGTTTCTTTTTGTATAATTATAAGTTTTGCTCTTTTATCTATTCTTAAAAATGGAGAAGATATCTAGTAACAGTAATTATAAATAATAAAAAAAAAATATGAAAATAAAAAAAAAAAAATTTCAAGTCTTTCTGATCATCAGTTATTTGAATAATCTTTATCTTATTATGATTAGTTACAATACCTTTATAGCCATTAATAAAAGGTATTTTATGGCAACAAGGAATTTACATTGTATTTAACTTTTCCATGTTTTCACACTTAAATTTTTTTAATTGATTCCTCCCACAAAAATGGCTTCAGAAGATTAAAGTACAAATTTATTGAAAAGGAAGTTGGCCATTGACAATGTCCATACTAAAAATTGATTCCCTGGACCAAATCTCTCCTTTCCATGCTGTTGGACAATTGTTTGCTCTGACCATGGCAATCTACAGTTGGGTTGTTATCTTAGTTTGCTTTAACTGTTGATTATTGCTTTTGATGCCCATTATAAGTTAAATCATGATTATGTCTTAACATTTTCCGAGATGAAATTTAGTTAAGTTCAATTATCCGAGGTCATTTCCAAGCTAAATATTGGCAAAGTGTTTCCAACAAATTTTTACGTAAATTTTCTAAGTTCTTTTCCGAGCAAAAAAAAAAGACAAAAGTTCTTATTTCCAAGCTTTTTCCGAGCTGATTTTTGGCAGAGTGTTTAATTCCGAGATAGTTTCCAAGGTTTTCTTTATTTCCAAGGATTTTTATACAAAAACCTTGGATAAATTTTCCAAGGTTTTAAAAAAAACCTCGGAATTAAGAAAAAACCTTGTAAAACTGGTTTATTTCCAAGGTTTTTGAAGCAGTTTCCATGGTTTTTTTCATAAACCTCGGAAAATCTACACCCGGGTAGTGCATGTGGTAATTAGTACATGTACATAATGGTGCATCTGGTAATTAGTAGATGTACATAGTTTGCAAATCGAAACAGGATTTGAGTGAGTGAGTGAGTGAGTTAGTGAGTGAGTGAGTGTTTGGGTAAAGTGCAGTGGAAAGGACCATCCCACAAATTCTCAAGTTTAAAGAGTTTAAAAACACATATTTTTATACATGTATATTACAGAAGAACACCACGAACATGAGAAACAGGAGACGAAAGATAAAGAACACGCTCACGAAGGAACGGAAGCCAGCCATCACCACGAGCACAGTATGATAGATGATCATTCTCTTATAGGGATAACACTGGTGTCCGGCTTTATATTTATGTTGTTGATTGACCAGATTGGAGGCGGGGGACATATTCATGCACCAGCAGGTACTTGTTGTATTATATCAAGTTTTTGAGTGCTAGTGAACATAATGTTACCAGTATATATTGGCATGCTGAAATGTTCATTAGAACATGTTATAAAAAATTTCTGTTGGCTCCGCATTTAGAGTATTTCATTTATACAAATTTCTGAAACTCACATTTGGGCAAGTTCATTACTAAACTTAAGGGTGGTGAAACTTGAAAATATGGGAAAAAATCTGTGTCATTTGTTGTAAAAATTTTACAACAAATGACTCAGATGTTTTCCTATTTTTAGGTTAAAAAGAAGTCATTGCTTTTGATTATTTTGAAGCAAGATTTCATTTGACCTAAATTTATTTGATAAGCTGTATAGGAACAAATGAATTAAAGTTTCAAACCATGTTGTTTTTCTTTTCATGTAAAGTCAAACATATAAATGCAGATTTTTATTTACGGTTCAGGGAGATCAAGGATTCTTCCTGGTTGCCAAATTGAACTTTAAAAATAATTTCAAGGAATGTCACAGCAAAATATAATACTATATATAATAATATATATATGAATTATTATTATCATTTATACAAGATTAATTTTACAGCACAATGTTATTGATTTGGTTGGGTTTTAAGTCACACTGACACAGTAAAAGTCAAGTGTATACACTTTCCAACTTTACTAGCCATACCCACTCATGCATTATTTTAGGAACCAGCTAGCCAGGTAGTTCCTCACATGTCTTGAAAGATTTGTAATATAGAAGGGCTCTGTTATTTAACACACATGAATATTGTACGCAAATAGGATTAAGCAATGATTTAGTGCATGCGCCATTAAAAATTTTGCCTTTAAGGAAAATTACAAACATATTTCCATCATACAGGCATTTAGAATGATTCTTTTTCAAAATTCAAGCAAAAATTTTGTTAACTTTTAACTACAGGCAGCAGATATATGTATATAGTGTTATACATTTTAATCCGGAGAAATACTTCTGTGTACAGGAAGTTGAATAAACAATAAGATGATGAAATAACTCAATTAGAGCAATGATAAGCAGCTGTTACTTAGAGAAAACTGTGTCACAGGCCTACTGGAAAATAAATCTTATTTTCTTGATCCTAAACCTCCTGAATATATGTAATGAATTTGCCCTGCTTTGAATATGAAACAGACCATTCAAAGTTTATGGGATTTCAAATGTTAAAACATTTTCTTTCCTATAAAAAAGGAACATAGCGAAAAAAATGAGCACAGAATAATGTTGTGCTGCTGACAATTTCATGAATGTTACTAAAGAAAAATTCACCAATTGCTAAGTTACTATGAACTTAAGTTTGTACGTAAGAAAGTAACAGAAACAGATACATTAAGAAAACATGAAATGCATTTTTATTTTGTGGTGACTTTTGGCCTAGAAGTGTTGTCAAAGATCTATATATATATATGTGTGTGTAAAAGCTGTAATCTGTCATTATACAAGCTAGTATAGTACAGACAGGTTTTGACATTTTGATGAAGTACTACATGCTAAATAATAACCAGTAATTAATTGACCTAATGTTGTCGTATGCAAATACATATCTATTTTTATCAATAAATTGTAAAAATTTAGAGAAATTTTTAATCCCTAGCCGTGGACATGCCCATTTCAACAAATAAAATCATAGCACTAACAACAACAACAACAACAAAATCAATATGAGTACTGGTAATTATACTAAGTTGATGTTAAAGTGTGTCTGCCTCTCAAAGATTCAAGCCCTAATGGGGTCACAACCATGTTTCTTCATATGACACCAGCACTGGTTGGTTCCGAGAAGTGGACTCGAAAGTGATTAATAATAAGTTGCAAGAACTTGTTTCGCAATCGAGCTTAAATAAATAGGTTTAAACCATGAAGTTCATTTACAAGTTAAGGTTTATCACATGATGTTCATACAATTTAGGTTGAACTCAGACTTGTAAAGGTTTAGATATTTATACACATGTTTGATTGAATTATATTATGCATCTTTGTGTTTGTATTTCCAGACACAGATTTGCCGACAACAAATTCATCACAGAACAGACATAAAATTACAGCCACTTTAGGATTAGTGGTGCACGCAGCAGGTATTGTATTTGTTTTATAAGATGTAATCAATAAATAAGAAAATCTGCTCATAATTTGCTACAAAAAATGATGAAATAAAGTTATTATTGTGCAAGATAATGCACCAGATTGCATTCTGCATATAAAACTCAAATAATTCAGGTTGAAATGGTATATGATGAATAGTTTTTTTCTATGATGAATTTCACTGTCTTCTGTTAACCTTTTCCCTTATATAAGCGTGTTTCGACTTTTTGCCCCCCCCCCCCCCCTTTTTTGAGGCCTCAAACAGTGAAAAAATGCCCTATTAACACTGTTTTTCGTTTGAGAAATGTTGTTAAAAAAAGTGACCACTTTTTCGGCGCCGTCCCCCATCCAAATATTACATCAGGGGGTTGCTAGAAGGGTGGTGTGCCCCCTTGTGTTTGGGGGGTTTGAAGGGGGGCGGAGTCCCCCTCATCGCCAAGAAAATTTTTGACATGTGACAGGCTAAAAATGGCCTCAGGTCGATCTTAGGGTAACTAGTAACCGACGCTGAAAAGCCTTTTACTCTATCTCAATTCATTGAGAAGTTGCAGCACTTTGAAATCAGTTTTGATGGGAAAAAAACAATGCAAAATAGTGATTTTTGGCAATTTTGAGACGTCCCCCCGTTGCCATGGTAACAGGAAATTTACCATTGAGCATGCTGTTACAGAGGCTATGGTGTAGTCAACATTTGTGCCAAGTTTCATTAGTATTGAAGCATTTTTCATAGTTTCATAGCAGTTTGAACTTGTTACAGGAGGCTTTTCAATGAAAACGGCCATTTTTCGCAATATGCTCATGGGGTAAAAGGTTAAGTATTATAAGCAAGTAATTGTTCAAGGTTTTGTTGTCCGTCTGCTCACAAAATCACATTAATTAAGATTATTTGGTATTTAAAGGTAGCCCAGTTTACACAGTATGAAGAGTGACATGTCCATGGGAGATGCTTTGTTTCTTTATAAAATATTCTTTAGTTATTTAAATGGTTTTTTGTGGAGATGTTGGGTATTCCTTCAGGATAAAAAAAATATGACTGTCTCAGAATCCAGAATGTTACCAAAATACTGATACAAACTGACACAAAAGCAAATAAGCCATACATGTCAGTAGCATTATTCCTATTTATTATATTACAGTGGAGCCTTGCTAATCCGAACCCTTCTAATCCGGAATCCTTTCTAATCCGAACGAAGTGGCCGGTCCCGATTTTATTCGTTCTATTTTCAAAAGTAAAAAACCTTTCGGATCCGGAACCTGTCTACTCCGAATTCCGGACGATTTTTTTAATTTTTGTTCTTATTTTACTATAAAATTTACCTCTCGGATCCGAACAGATTTTGCCAAATGTCGCACCTTCATTCAAAATAACAAATAATCGCACATCTTGCAGGTGTAAACATACACCAAACTGATAAGTGTTATTTCGCTTGATTAATGGGTGAAACGTATTATCTGTGACGGTGTGAAAATTACACTTATATTGCCTCGATATCTTCTATAATTGCTTAATTGATTGTTTTTCGTCAGCTTCTATAAATATTTTGATATAATTCAAAAGAAATATCTTTTAATCCTTTGTAATGGATTCAATGATACGTGATTAAGTAATGAAAATTAATGGAAACTGTCAGTGAATTCGGATAGTCGCTGATTCGGATATGAGTAAACAACAATTGACAAGTGCTGGTACGAATATTCAATCATGTCTCGGCCTCCTGTTTAACATTGTAGGTTAACTTACGCTTGAGGACATAATATTTTTGCTTATTTATTTATTTTTATTTCTTTATTTTTGTATTCACATGTATTAAATTGAACGATAAGACACTGCAAAAATAAAATATCTAAATTGCAATTTCAAATGCATTCCCGTTTTCTTTCCTTAAACTATTTTGCAAATAACATGAAAAAACATGTAAAAAAACCTTCTAATTCGGAAACCTTTCTAATCCGGAAACCTTTCTAATCCGAACTTTTCTTCTGGTCCGGACGAGTTCGGATTAGACAGGTTCCACTGTATTACAAATTGAATCATCATGTTACACCTACACTTTTAGTTGCCAGCTATTTTCCATAATGTATCAATACTTTCAGCATCTTAGCTGGTTGTCATGTTACATTTGTACTTTCAGCTGATGCCAGTTTATCATATAATTCCATACTTTCAGCCAATTGTCGGCTGTCTTTATTTAGAATATACCTAGTCATAATGTTACATCTATACTTTCAGCTGATGCCAGGTTATCATTTTATTTCTATACTTTGAGCCAATTGTTTTAAGTTTACCTATCATGTTACATCTATACTTTCAGCTGATGGTATTGCTATGGGGGCTGCTGTCTCAATGTCCACAGCTCATCTAACACTTATAGTGTTTGTAGCTATAATGTTACATAAGGTTAGAATAGCCTTTATAATTTTACACCTTTTATCAAACTTTAATGGAGAAATTGAAAAATAATATTAGTGTTGTTTACTTATTTGTGTATCTGAAATCCAATGGCATTTAAAGAACAATTACTAACAAAGCTCATTGCTCTTAAAGACTAAGGATTTATGTCGTTATGCCAT